AGCTCCAGGTCGGTACCTGGCGGGGACGCGCCGTTCCTGGCCTCGCTGCGAGCCGATCCTCACCTCTGCCTCCAGGCGCTCGGGAAGGGGTGATCTCAAACTGCCCGGTGGCGGCAGATCCCTCCCGCCCGGAGACGCTGTTTCTGACCCGGGTCAGGCCTGTTGCAGTTCCAGCACCACCCAGGGCTTGGGAGGTTCCCAGTGGGAGGAGGGACCGGTTGGGGATGGGTCCGCTTGCCCCTCCGGGGGCGAAGGGATCACCGAGTTCTTCCTACAGATGCAGATCAGGAACCTGACGTCGCTGACCCCCGCGGGCGAGGCCGGGCTGACGTGGCCGGTCGGCATCCCTGCGCCCTTCGTCCCCAAGTCCCGCTTCGAGGTGATCAGCTGGGACTACTTCACGGAGCAGCATCTCTTCTCCTGCCCCGACGGCACCCCCAAGTGCGAGCTCTCGGGGGCCGGCAAGGCCGACGTCGATGACGTCATCGAGTCGGCGCTCGAGCAGCTCAACAGCCGCTACCAGCCCCTGCTCCGGTTCTACAAGCGGCAGTTGCTGAACGGCTACCGGCGCTTCGACCCCACGCGGGGCATGGAGTACACGCTGGACCTCCTGCTGGAGGCGGTGACCCAGAAGGGCCACAGCCACGTCCTGGCCAAGCGGGTTAGCCTCGTGCGGCCCCTCAGCAAGATGGAGATCATTCCCATGCCCTATGTGACGGAGGCCACGCGGGTGCAACTGGTGCTTCCCCTGACTGTGCAGGACCTGGACTTTGTAGGGAACTTCCTGGACACATTTGCTATGAACACACTGGACACCCACGACAATGCCCTGCTGACCCTGCTCTTCATCTACCACCCCTACGATGCCCAGCGGGTCAGCCAGCTGGACGTCTTTGCGGGCGTCAAGGCCATGGTGGCAGAGCTGGAGAAACGCTACACTGAGGTGAAGATCCCCTGGATCAGCGTCAAGACGGAGGTGCCGTCACAGGTGAAGCTGATGGACATCGTGTCCAAGAAGCATCCCGTGGACACCCTCTTTTTCCTGGCCAGTGTGTGGACAGAGGTCAGCATGGAGTTCCTAAACCGCTGCCGCATGAACACCATCAGCAACTGGCAGGTCTTCTTCCCGGTGCACTTCCAGGAGTTCAACCCTGCGCTGGTGTACCGGGGTGAGCAGGCCTCGTCGTCCAGCGCTGACGTCCTGCGGGACGGGCGCTTTGACCGGCACGCCTTTGCCGAGGCCTGTTTCTACAACTCCGACTACATGGCTGCACGCACCAAGCTGGCAGCTGACATCCTGGACCGGGACGAGGTGCTGGAGAGCATGGAGGTCTTTGACGTCTTCTTGCGCTACTCAGGGCTCCATCTCTTCCGGGCGGTGGAACCAGGGCTGGTGCAGAAGTACGCGCTGCGCAGCTGCAACCCCCGGCTGAGCGAGGAGCTGTACCACCGCTGTGTGCTCAGCAACCTGGAGGGGCTCGCCTCCCGCTCCCACCTAGCCATGGCTCTCTTTGAGCAGGAGCAGGCGAACAGCACCTGAGTTACCCGCAGCCACCAAGGGTTCCCAGCACCTTAATACTTGGCACCTTTCATTCTCTGCCTCAGCCCCAGCCTGCACTGGGGCAGAGGGCTCATCAAGTGGAGGGGAGAGGAAAGACCTCCCTCTTCCCACCTCAGCCCCAGGGCCGAGGGGAGGGCAGTGGAAAGGTCTGTGGGGGGGTTTTAAAATAAATAATTGAAGTTTCTTCCCATGCAAGTGAACTCCATTCCTCCCAGTTGCTCAGTGAGTCGTCCTTCCTGACTCCAACTGCGGTAGCAGCACCCTCACAGAGGGACTTGGGTCTGAGGTGGAGGGGAAGTGAGTGCAGACCTACTCCCAATCTGCCCAGAGCCACTCACGGCTCCCTGGTGCCATCCCAGCACAGCAAACCCGGGACTGGAACCAGGGCGAGGCAGGCTTGGCAGCTGTAGCTTGTGTGCTGCCCACTGTTCAGAGACGCTCACTCTCCCTCGTATGCTTGCTTGCAGGGACAGACTTCTGTGGGGGCTTGCTGGGGCTGAATTAGGCAGTTAGTCATGTTCCTGCCCTCTGCTCTGCGGGGGCGGGGGGTCCTCTGTCTTTTCCCTTACCCCTCCCCTGTACCCTTGCTAGTCATTCATGCTGCTCTGCAGCCCCCAGTACAAAGAGCTGTTTGCTGCTTTTCCAGGGTAATCGTCTGCCCCAGCAGTGCAGTGTTGGGAGAGCTGCATGCACATCAGCCTCGTGTCCCACAGAGGAGCCAGGCATCCCCATCGGGTCATGACGGCAGGTGCTGCTTCCCAAAATGAGCAGGCTGGGGCTGGGCGGTTTGTCAGGGGCTGTGATAGCCAGGGTACGACATTCCCTCAGGTCTCTGTGGACCTTGTTGCAGAGCCCAGGGTCCCATTGCTGGGCATTTGGTGTTGCCAGAGGAGCTCCTGTTCACGATGAGGAGTCTCCTGCCTAGTGCTAGCTGTGGATGGGACAGCGGCAGCAGGGTGTACCCTTTCTCCCAGGAAGGGTTCCCGTCCAAAGGGAAGGAGGACAGGGAGCAGGGCCAGCAGCCAGAGACTGACTCTGGCAAAGGTGCTGCTGTCCCTCACAGAGGCTGCTTCCTGTGGGACACCCAGCTGGCTGGCGCAAGAGCTGCCTGGCCCCCGGAGCCTCGGTCACCTCCGAAGGGAGGACACTTGTGTAAGAACGTAAATGGGTCAGAAGAGAAGCTGCGAAGAGCAGCCAGCTCATTTCCTTCTGCAGCAGCCTCGGGCTGCGGGCGGGGCACAGCTCAGGCAGCCATTCTTGGGTCTGTGAAACTTTCATTCCTGTGGCTCTGACCAGGCTCCTGCTCTCCTTGTTTGCGCACACGCTGGGTGCACGTACACCTCCCGTGCCCACCCTCTTGCAATCTGTTCCCTTCCAGCTGCTGGCTCCAGTCATGCCCTGCTGCTGCCCAACTCACACCTGGGTGGGACAAGGCAAGCACGGCCTTGCCCTCCTGGGCCCAGACCGCTGTTCGCTGCCAGGCATTAGACTCCGCTTCACTTAAGTGACCTAGCCACTGTCGCCCACGGAAAATGGACTGAGAACTGGCTGATGGTCACAGACGTGAACGGGGAAAAGGACGTTTCTCTCGCTAGAGCAGCGGTTCCCAAACTCTTGACAGATGGGGTACCACCAAGTTAAAAGGATACAACCTTATGTGCCGGTGGTACTTTTTTCAGTTCTACCTTAAGTACCACCAGCAATTTTTTGTCATATAAAGTAATTATAATAAATCTGTTATTGTGTACCACTAACAGGTTATCTGTGTACCACTGGTGGTACCCGTACCACAGATTGGGAACCGCTGCCCTGAAGGGTATTTTCCAAGAAGCCCCTGTAAGGATCCATCATTCGCCCAGTCCTACTTGGGAGACATATAACTAGAAGGAAACGTGAGGCTGCAGCTGACACAAGCTGGTGGGGCCAAGCACGTATGCAGAGCGATCCAGAGGGTGTGCTAGGAGGGACTTGCTTTACTGAATACAGCCACGTGTGAGGCCACGCACCTACTAGCCAATCACACCAGTCACACTAATGTCTCCCCATTCTCTGTCTCAGAAAGCAGCAACTCTGCTGTCATGGGGAAAACTGGTGAGGGTGAGTTTCCCTGCAGAGTGGTTTGTGGCTGCATGAGCAGAGGAAAGCTGCCTGGGTGGAGGGAGGTTGTGTCACTGCCAAACTTTCCATTAGCGAGGAGGGCTGTGTGCAGTGCTGGTGCCTGCCTGCCTGCAGAAAGGGGTGGCAGGGAGCCATAGAGAGTGCCACAGGAAAGCAACAGTCCGGAAAAATGTAAATTAAAAAGCTCTGTTTACTAAATTGGTACAAGAGAAGGTTCAGCGGTGACTTGATCGCAGTCTTCCAGCTCCCGCACAGGGAGTTTCCAGGAGCAGGCAGCTTGTTAGTCTGGCAGACAGAGGCAGGAGGGAGACGTGGTGGGTAGCTGCTGAAGCCAGACAGAGGAGGAGGGTGCAGTTTTTTCTGGATTCAGCACCGAGGGCCATTAGCCATGGCAGCAGATTACCTGCCTGGGGAGGAGCTGGCAAACCAGAGCAATTCTGAAGGGCACGGCTGCTCGGAGATGAAGGGGGTCGATTGGACGTTGCACGTTTGGTTCACCTCCTTGCCCGAGCTTCCCATCCTGCTGCTCTTGCCAGCTGCTGAATGCTTCCCCTGCGCTGTCGCCGCAACGGTTCTTTGCCGACTCAGCACGGTTGAGAGCCTTCTTGGTAACTGCTTCCTTCATGGTGCGTCTCTGTGAGGGCAGCACAGCTGGGGCTGTCGGGTCTGATCCAACCAAGCGTTCGAATGTTCCAGCCAAGGCACGATGTTTTTTCTGAAAGATTGCGGTGTCTCAAACAGGCAGGACTTCCATGAATTAATGTGTCCCTTGTTAGACAGGGGGTGAGATCAGTTGACCACAAAGCTCCCTTGTGACTTTGTAATCTATTAATCTGCATTTCCTAACAGCCGATGCCTCCTTAGAGGGAGATTTATATGCTAAGTCATTGTCAAGCAAGCCTTTGGCTTGGGCAGCGATTCTCACCCGGGGGCCTGGCGTGTTGTCAGAGCCTTTTAAGGGGGTTGTGGGGGGCTGTACAATATTAACATGGGTCGGTGTGCAAGTGCCTACACGCGGTTCACCAAATAAACCCAGAGATTGCAAATAGAAGTCCACAGTGTCACAGACACCCTGACCCGATGTGCTCTGTCCTGGCTCTTTGCAACAGAAGAGTTGCTCTAGATTTTCCATAGTCAAAAATGAGTGAACGCTCACGGGAAGCCAAGAGGAAGAAGAACCAGCTGAGCGGTACCGAGCCAGCTGCTTGGCTGGTCAGCTCCCAGGACCCTGTCGTGGAGAAGTGGAACGGACAGCGACGGGGATGTAGACGATGAGCTTCATTAGGGCGTGAAGCAGGCAGCTACAATGCAGTTACTTCCACAGCCGAGGCTGGCAGGGACCTGCGGTCGGTAACTGCAGCAAAAGAGAGGCAGAAAACTCGACAGCTGACACTAGAGCAGAAAGATGGTGAGCTTTGTCCCCGAGACCAGCAGCATTGGACAGGGTGACATGTAGTAGGGCAGTGTGGGCACTTACGCGTTGCGTTGACCCCAGAGTCATTCTGGGAACCAAGAAGGGTTTGAAGAACAGGTCCCATCAGAATTAAATATTTGCAAACATAAATGCCAGATGGATTTTAATAGCAAATGTAATCATGAAATGCAGATAAGATATAAATGGCCAACAGTACAGGCAAAGCATATCAAGCAAATGATTAAAACTTATAAAATGTGTGTTTGTCTAAAGAATTAACAATCTCATTAGCATTTGGAAGAATTAAAAATTAATTTCTTGAAGTCCCAAGTCTCTAGCAGGTGGGCAGCCTGCTCTCATCCAGGTTTCAAATTCAGTTTTAAAAGCGCTCTTGTCTCGGTTCATCTGCAGATGGGCTGTTCAGCAG